CCCGTTGCAACGCACGGGCAATTTTTTCCAGTAATGAAAATATATTACATCCTCCACTTTTGCCATATGACACACAACCAACAAGTTTTTTTAACTGAATAATATTACCTCCGCCCCATAATATAAGAGATTTTGGTTATGCATCAATTGTATAGTCAAAAAAACCAAAATCTTTTATATTATGGGGCGGAGGGAGTAAGATAGTAGGTAACGGGGAAAATCCCTACCTTCCTAACCTAAGAAAGAAACCAACTGATACACTTAAAACAATCACTTACTAGATTCTAACAAGTAAGCATATATATACTGTCACCCACAAAACAGAATAAAACGGAATAAAAGAGCCTTGACTACCAACTCTAAAAGCATAGTATCATGCTCCTCTATCGTAACATTAAATGACCGGCGAGAATGTTGTAGCACACCCAAAGGATATCTACTCCTCTTACCCAGCATAGCAACTTGAGTTCCAAAGGATAATCCAATAGTTTCTTAGGAACTGAAGATGTGTAATTTATCTGCTCAAGCTAAGCATGCATACCGATCCATTTTATTGCATAGGACGGCTAGTGTCGCGAGAGGGAGCAGACAATCAAGCAGAGTGTCACGTACGGGTCCAGCCTTCCCCTGATATGAGAGACGTAGAAAATATATATATTCCGACTTTCATCCTTCGGGCCTTTCGCGTTGATGAGGTTTTTTCATTTGCGTGACACCGTGATCTCCGCACAATCGCATGATCAACAATCTGAGTTGCATGAGTCATGACATGGTTTAGGTAAACGGGTGTATATATAAACGGGTGTGTGTATATAAGGTTGTGGTCGCTCTCTATTGAGCTAGCAATGCAACGGTATACCTATATATGCAAAGGATAGCGGCTAGTCATATATCAAAAGAACTGAAAATTAGTTGATGGGATATTAGAAAAAACTGCATAGATTAATACAGAGGGCATCTAACTCATCGGCAATATGGACTATGAGCTATTCATATATATTATTCATATAAAATAACAATTCAAATACTTCTATAACTATCTTTAGGAGATCTTGACAATATTTTGCGTGCTACCACCATTGCAAACTATTTTGATCTCACTTGGATGACAACCTTTTTGGAAGATTCCCTTTCCATTCATATTTCAGCTAAATATTAATAGCATCATCTCTTCTCATATTACTTGTAATTAGTGACGGGTTGTATGAAAATATATAAAACCTTATTTCAACATATGCTTGAGATGATTGTAGCTTGAGGTGATGTTTTAGTTATTTGTATTTCCCATATCAAATGATTTTAAGTTTATTTTACCCATAATAAATGCTTTTCAGTTTATTTCACTAATTGAGCTTGAGACAATGTTTAAATTTCATTGCAACATGATGCTTAAGGTGATGATTCGTTTTAATTTTATTTTAAGTTAATTGCCCCCATAGAGACTGAGAAGATGTTTCACTTTTTTATTTCAACATACTATGAGTGAAGGTTCACTTTCTTTTTTTGCCCGCCGTCTTAAAACTAATATTTTTTTTATTTCAATATGAGTGAAGGTTCACTTTCTTTTATCGGCCGCCGTCACTAATAATTCATGGAGTGAGTGTTCACTTTCTTTTATAATTCATTTCCAATTTATTTCATTAATGGGCCGTTGTTAACAGTGAAATTTGGTAAGCCCCTAAGAGAATTATCACGCCGCCAATAGTCGGATTCCTGCTATATTCGGTTAAGAAAATTAATAGCTTATACAGAAGTGACCGAGTTCAAGTGTCCCATAAGTACTTTATGTTTTCCTTTTATTTTTTTAGAAATGTTTCTTTCTTGTCCTGTAAGGACTAGTATTTCCCCATGGGTATAAATATATGTACCCAGAGTCATTGTAAACTATCTCCATGATCAAATACAATTCGGCGCATCGCTACCTTTTACCTTTTTTACTTTTTATCAGAGCAGAAGGGGTAAGTCCAATATTCCACCGGCCCAGGCAATTGTGTTGGTTACATTGGCGCCGTTCAGCATCAGTACATTGGACTTCTTGGATTGCTCTGATTTGATTAATATATTTGCCTGCCTATTTATCATATGTTTCAGTTAATCTAGTCTTAAAGCCCTGTTCGTTTCTTCTGCATGCACAGGATTAAATTTTGGATACTCGTTGCACGCTTTTCAAACTGCTAAACGACGTGTTTCGTGCGAAAACTTTATATATGAAAGTTGCTCTAAAATATCAGACTAATCCATTTTTCAAGTTTATAATAATTAAAACTCAATTAATCACACGTTATTACCACATCGTTTTACGTGAAACACTTAATCTTTATCTTCATCTTCATCTTTATCTTCAGGAAATTCAAACACCACCTTAGTATCCCAATTTAGCTCTATCGGTTGTCTCTCGCTTTAGGGTTTCTGCCGGTATCGGCTAAATTGTATTACTAGATTAGATTAGCTAAGGCATCTACCATCCTGAAAATCAGTCAAAGGCTTGATTGTCTCGATATTGTGTTTCTTTTCATACTTAGTGTTGCTTCAGTTAAGTTTGATCTACTAAGTCGTGCTTAGAACCATAATCTCTAGCCTGCTTGTTGACTGCCAATAAGGGTTTCATCGGGGTTTCAGCCGATGAGTTATCTGGATGTTGCATCGGTTTACAAGGATTGCATATAAGTTCGATTTAGCCGATCGCAACAAAGATTTTACTGTTTAATCTAATCTTGTGGATTTTATAACATCGGATCTCCAGCCGATGTATTCTTTAACCTTCAGATCAGTGCTTATTCTATCATATCATTGTTAGCCGATTGGTTTATACTGGATTAGATTGTCTCAAGTATCAGAATCTACATTGGATATATAGCTGATAGCTTCAAACCCTATTGCTATCGGTTGGTACCGGCATCAACTGGAACTACTCCATCGGCTCGTCAGTCGATAAGCTCATTGATCTGCTATTTGTATATCTTGTCAGTTGCAGGATCAAACTGACTGGCACGTCCGCATCTCACCAACCTTTGGACCTGCACTGGAGCTAAGCAGATATCCCAGGCCGTTGTGTTCATCAACTTAGTTTGCGCCAACACAGATCCGGCACCACTGGCCGAGTGCGGATTTTTCGTCGATAGCCGTGGAGTGAAGCTTCACTTTCTTTTATTGGCCGCCACCATATAAAGTAATAATTCGTGGAGTGAATGTTCACTTTCTTTTATTGGCTGCCATCATATAACTAATAATTGAGAGTGTCAAGCAATAGGGTGTCATATAATTAATAATTGGGAGTGTCAAACAATGGCGGTGCCATCATATAACTAATAATTAGGAGTGTCAAGCAATGGCGGGGTAGCCAAGTGCAGATTTTTCGTCGACAGCCGTGGAGTGAAGGTTCACTTTCTTTTATTGGCCGCCGCAATATAAAGTAATAATTCGTGGAATGAATGTTCACTTTCTTTTATTGGCCGCCATCATATAACTAATAATTGAGAGTGTCAAGCAATGGGGTGTCATATAATTAATAATTGGGAGTGTCAAGCAATGGCGATGCCGTCATATAACTAATAATTAGGAGTTTCAAGCAATGGCGGTGTAGTGGCGTTGGTGTGACATTTTGTGACGGTGTGTGAAGTAGCAAAATAGACAGTGGCGGATCCAGGATTTCAAAGTTGGGTATTCCCGTCTAAGCGCTGAGCCACTGGCCGCCCCTGCCCCTCGCGGCCGCCGGCCACCCAACCGGCCTGACCGCCTGAGCTTGGCGGAGTGGCGGGCGCCGGCCGCCGCCCTCCACGGTAGCACGGTCCAGCTCCCGCTGCCGGTTACCTCCTCGCCGCGCCGCCGCCTAGGTATGGGGAGCGGCGCGAAGGAGCCGAGCCAGGGAGGGATGGGTCACGGAGGGAGAGTGAGAGGGGGCCGTCTAGAAGAGTGGTGGCTAAATGGGTCAACTGATGTATGATAAATGGGTCATGACGGAGTGGGTCGGGTTGGTAGGAGGCGTTGCAAGAGGCCGGTTGGGCTGTGTATGGATCGAAGAATTGAGGATTTAGGTGCACTAATATGTGTACATGTGTATATACTAGAAGTATACTTGCTTTTTGATAAAAAAAAATAAGTTGGGTATTCCCGGGAATACCCAGGAATCATGGTAGCTCTGCCCATGAAAATAGAGTTGATCGTATGCGCACCCTAACTAACATAATCACACGGAAGTGTCAAGCAATAGCGTGTCATATAACTAATAATTGGGAGTGTCAAGCAATGGCGGTGCCGTCATATAACTAATAATTAGGTGTGTCAAGCAACAGCGGTGTAGCGGCGTCGGTGTGACATCGAGTGACGGTGTGTGAAGCAGCAAAATAGAGCTGATCGTATGCGCACTCTAACTAACATAATCACACAAACCATTCCTGAAGTCCAATTGTATACAAAAATCACACGATGTGTGAAGCAGCAAAATAGAGCTGATTGTATGGGCACCCTAACTAACATAATCACACAAACCATTCCTGAAGTCCAATTGTATACAAAAAACCGTAGACTCGTACGATGGCACCCCAAGTCATTCAGTTTAAGTTCCTTTTACTGCCAAAAAAAAAAAGTCACTCATGATGTTTAAGTTTCTTTTACTGCCACCCACCCGCCCCCACCCCCGAAGTCATGATGTTTAAGTTTCTATTACTGCCAAATCACAGCGATATGCTCCTCACCCACCCACCCCCACCCCCAAAGTCGCGAAAATATATTTGGTGCCGTCCATTACCAAGAAATTTTGTACCGTACTACCGTCCATTACTTGAGGGAGCTAAGAGCGGCTGCCATGGGTGTAAGATAAGCTACGGTCGTTTGCAAGATGCAGAGAATGAACGGATGGCAGAGCTTTAGGGTACAGTGACTGTATATCATGATCGCCTCAGATTAAATACAGTATTTTTTTTCCTAGTGGCACATTATCTCATAGAGAAGGCGTTAATCCCAGATTTAACATAGCTCCTAGGAGGAAAGAGACATGTAGGGAAGCATGCAGCAAAAAGATTATCAAGTCCAACACTGCTGAACCACAAATACAACAATTGTAGATATGCTCTCCATTATCAGGTTTCTTCAACCACCTAGTGTTTACTGAGTCAGGTTGCAGAAGAATGGTAATAAACAGCTACAAGAGGTACCTCATACTTAGCATTGCCAAATCATGTAGGAGCAACTGTTGCAGGTACACTACTTCAGGTCAGTTAACTAAGAAAGTTCAGTACAGCCACAAATGGAAGAAATACATTTGAAGTAAGGAAACACCGGTCTGTGCCTCCATCAGCCTCAAGCAGGTATATCACGGAAGTGCTTGCTTATGCCACATCTGGGGGAGAACCACCAGGAACCAACTGTATAGGCCAAACAAAAGATGAAATAGCGTTAGACATAGCAGGTCACACCGAACTTTTACCAAACCATTCATTACAAGTATTTGATCAAGATTTCTCACAATAGCTATATTGTTGCCGTTTAGGAGTATCTGATCAAGCTTTGTTATGCGACGGCCTTCAGCAGTGTATTCACTATAAAACAATCAGAGGATCATGAAACAACAAACATTAGACTATAATTTCATATTGAACATATACATATGCTAAATGTGCAAGTGAAAAAAACTAATAAACATCAGTATGGTTTTGCTAAGTGATTTCCTAGATGATACATTAGTTTGGCAAGGGTGATGGTGGTAACTTCATATTCAGCTAATAGGAATAAATTCCACCATTAGGTCCAGCATTTTATTAGGGGACTAGTGAAACATTGCACATCAACAGATCATATAGATTTCAGTCATGGTATATAATCAGATGACACAAACTCTAAAACACGCTCACTTCAGCCCCTTCTGCAAGATGGCTCAACAACCATCATTATGTTGCAGTATATGTTTGTGATATTTTTTGTTGTTAGGAAATACCTCTCTTTTTAAGAACATAGTTACAACATCCACATGTGCATTCTACAAACTACTAAGATACTGAATATGAATATTTCTAGAACTAATTCAGGTATAATAGAACATTGTAATATCGGGGAAAACAAAGTAATACATCAACACCTGGGAGGACTAGTATAAACTTAATGCAACAATTGTGAAGAGCTAGCACAAAATACATGATGCATCAGTATAACACTCATGGAAACCTACTGCCACCATCTGCTAAATATCTTTAGTCATTTTTACATGACCAATTCCCTCCTAGCTATCAACTATCATTCTGTCCTATACCACAAATAAATAACCATATAAATCATGATGAAAAGAGCTTGTCTTCCCTTCCGCGAGAAATAATATTCCCAAACAAGACAATACTAACTACAACGATGAACATGTTACTGCAGCAGAAATCCTACAAAACAGTGTGTTCCACTGCTGCAGCTTCTTTGGAATCAAGCGTTCATATCAGTTGATCTTAGAACAGACAGACTAGTGATTGCGTTACACCTTAAGTACTAAACAACAAATAAAATCTTCAGTTATATTAAGTATACTGAATTACTGATAAGAGCAGCAAATGTTATAATTATGTAACTTCATGAAACCAAGTCTGTGTGAGTTAAATTGAAGCACACAATGGGTTAACAATCATGACATGAGTACTGAAAGGATCAAAAATAGCTTGCACTATACCAACTATGATGATTGGTAGTATAATACAAACTCATGTTATACGAAATCTGCCTGATGACATGGAGGAAAGTAACCAACAAAGCAACAAGGTAGGAGCAATCTGGCATAAGGTGGGCAATATTTCTGTACTTCAGTTCTCAGAAAATCAAACAATGTTTTCTAAATATTTTAGCTAATTCCAATATCAGCACACTGAGACACAAATGTGAGAAACTGAGCTAAACTAATCTAAGAATCTAATCAGAAGAAACCGAAATTACCCTACGACTGTGACACCAAAATTACCCTACAAGAAAAAAACCTGGCGCGGAAAGTAGAAAAATAAATAGGGTTGAGAATTGGAAGATTTTTCACATACTACTCAGTAACGTCCTCGAGCACCATGTTGACGTACACATCGAACCCACAGAGAGTGCCGACGAGCTCCTTGTCACCCTTCATAATCACCCAAATCTTGGACCCGATGCAGCGGTCAATCAGCTCTGCACAAACCAAAGCCCGCAAGAACTGAATCAAGAACTCGAACCCCAAAAAACAAAATCTATCTGGAACAAAGTTAGCAAGCTAGGATGCGAGATTTATAAGAAACTAAAGCGAAGCTTCTTCCGCGCACCTGAGGGGAGGAGCTGGGAGGGGTTGTTCTGAGACATGGCGGCGGACGCCCTCTCCGGCGGAGATCGAGGTGGAAGCGGCGACGGGAAGGGCGCGCGCGGCTACGGCGGAGGCGATGCAAGAGTAGCGGCGCTGCGGCGGCGGAGGCTTCTGCTTTGGGTGGAGGATTCCAACTGCGAACGCTGCGCCCTAGCCGACTCCACCCACGAGACGTATTCTCCACCGTCCGATCGAGCAATCAGCCGTCGATTAGATATCACACTTTTTTTTTCTTTTGCTAGGTTTCAAGCACCATAGGAATAGGTCAACTTTAACTTCCTTATAAGTGACTCGAATCTAATCCATAACCCTCAACCGTAAAATCAGATAGGGTGACTCTCCGAACTATTAAAACCAGTGCAATTTGATTCCCTTCGTGGTTTTGGAAGGCGATTTTGCTGATGTGGCGCTGACGTGGCAATGTTGACATAGTCTTCGTCCCACGTGGCGCTTACGTGGCTTAGAATTAAAAAAAATTATTTGTGGAACCCATATGTGATTCAAACAAAAAAAATGACATGTGGGAATCGGCTGGTACGACGGCGCGGCGAGCCTCCGACCAAGCGGCTGGGATGCCGAGAGGCGGAGCGACCGGCATCCCGTAGAGCACCAACCCATTCTCCGGCGACCCTCCATCCGTCCTCGCCTGCAAGAGCGAGTGCACACATTAAAACACTCTTCGACTGAGCTCGTGCAGAACCGAGCTACGGGAGGATGATCACCTTGATGTCCTGCACAATGAACGAGTTCGTCTCCACGAGCCTCGAGCAACCTGAGCCGACGACGACTAGCTCCGGCGAGTCGTGGTAGTACCCCAACATCAACGCCGCCGGCGCTGTTCCATCAATGTAAAGGATCAAAGCGAGTTATAGCACTGAGATATAGTATGTGTTGTCAACAAAGACGATCTTAATCAGAGATTCAGAGTAACTAACCCAAAAAACAGAAGGCGAGGAGGGTGACAAAGCCGAGCGCCGCCACCGCCATGACTGTAAGTCATGTACCCTTCACCGGCGCTGGACTGACAGCAAGACGACGCGTAAGAGAAGCTATGAATCCTTGAACGGGTCACGGCCAAGGGGGATTTTGTGGAATCGGTATCTTAGCTGATGTCTCCCCCTTTTCTCTTCACCTTCTCTCTCGTGGAGCAATCGACGGGCAGGGACGGCGACAGTGGGTGGGAGCCGAAGCGGCGGCGGCGGTGACAGGCGGGAGGGCTAGGGGGAGGGCGCTGGAGTGTGTGGCGTGGAAGCTACCCCCTTCAGCGGCGGGGTGCGCGGGGGAGGCGTGCGAGCACGCTAACATCCCTCCGGTTCTTCTCGAAAGTCGGAGCAGGGTTCCTCCCTATCTCTACCATCTTCGGCGGAATCCTGTCGGTCAATTGGTTGTCAGCCAGAGCAAGCTGCTACAGTTCCGCCGCTACCGTCGCTTCAGCTCTCGCCGGCCACCACCACTCTAGCCCCCGCCACTGCCACTCCAGCCCGTGCTCCCCGTGGCCGACCGAAGGGGGGAGAAGAGAAAGAGAAAGAAAGAGAGAAGGGAGGAAGAGGGGAGGAAGAAGAAAGAGAGAGCAGGACATGTGGGTGGCCCCACAATTTTTTTATGTGTGTGAATGACAAACGGGTCCCACATATACGTTTTTAATTCAAATGCCACCTAAGCACCACGTCAGCGAAACCGCCCTCAAAACCACAAAGGGAGTCAAATTACACCGGTTTTAATAGTTCGGGGGCCGAGATATCCGGTTTTGCGATTTATGATCATGGATTAGATTTAGGTCACTTTTAGGGGAGACAAAGTGGACTTATTCCACGAAAATAATATTATTGATTAGTTGGGCTTATTCATTCCAAAGAAATATAAGTTGGGCCTAAATTCAAAAGATATAAATTAGGCTCAATTTCGAACAGAATTTATTAGTCGGCCTCTCTGACAGCCTTGGCCCAATTGAATTATTGGACAAAGCGGTGGGCCCACTGAAAACCCAGCCCAGATGGCCGACCACCGATGTGGTGATGTGGCCAGCACCAGCACGACACCGCACCTGACCAAAAAGCCCAGTCACATCCGCCCATGGCTTAGGCCAGCCCGCGCCGACGAGCTCCTCTTCTCCTCCCATCTCCACCACGCGCCTACCCGCACGCCGAGCTGTCGCCGCGTGTGCCCCCGCCTCGTTCCATCGCCTTCGCGTCGCGCTGTGCCCACTAAAACAATCCGGCCAGTTAACACTTCACACCCCCGCGCCCTCTCGTCCCCCTTCCTACGTGTCCCCCTCCCTGATCAAGAACGGATCACCGGCTCGGCGCCCCACTCTCTTCTTGGATCGGGGAGCGGGAGAGGGGGAGGAAGAGGCGGCGGATCAGAAGATTTGGGCGGCGGCGGCGGCGGCGGCGGCGGCGGCGGAGGTGGTGTGGGTGGGTGAGTGAGTGAGGAGTGATGGAGAAGGAGAGGAAGATGGAGGGGGAGAGGAGGGTGGAGGCGACGCGGCGGTGGGTGATCGCGGTGGGGTTCTGGGTGCAGGGGTTCCGGCTGTTCCCATGGCTGGGCGTCAACTTCTTCCTCAAGGACGGCATGGGCGTCGCCGCCTCCTCGCTGCAGATCCTCCAGGCGTCCGCCAACCTCCCCATGGTCGCCAAGCCGCTTCTCGGCCTCCTCTCCGACGCCGTCCCCATCCGCGGCCACCGCCGCCTCCCCTACGTCGCCATCGGCGGTATGTATATGCTCCCACTCCCACTCCCACTCGTTCCTCTCCTCCCTTCCCCCCCTGAATTTCCCGTCCCAGATCCAGAATTCCTCTCACATCTCAACTTTGCGCGGAACCCGTGTCGCCGAATTGTGATGCGGAATTATAATAATCTCAAATCTGTTCGTCTTGCCTGGGCGCGCCTGGCCATCCAATGCAGCATTTCGTTAGAGCAGTATGTGAATAACTGAATATGCATAGCATCTCCATCTTTAGCATTAACCTCACTGCACATTCTTTTCTTGCATTTGTTTGGAGGCGCATCACCTAATCCTGTGGCAGCTGGCGACAATGGCATCGCCGCAAAGGATATGCTCTGATGCTCACGGACTTTGTCCTCTTGATTCTTCTCACCCTTTCCCTTTGTTTCGGTTTACTTTTCATTTTTGTGCATAATTTGTAGTATCTGTCAGTCATCTTTTCCCGTATTAACCTTTGACAGCAACAACTTTTATCTAATGCTCCACCAAATTTGTCCTCCTGTTAGTATCACACATTCGCAAAGCAACAAGCAAGTAATCCCTTGCCAACCAGCTCACGCACGGCATGAATATTTCATCTACTTTAGGACTTTGGGTGTGGCCCTTTCGGTCCACTTTAATTAAAGCTGTGTTGAAAAACAAGCACAGAGGAATGTCATGATGAAATTCTTCAAGGATGAATGGATAGTGAACCATCTCACTCCAACATCACATAACTTGGGATTTTATATGTGCAAATTCTGTGTTTTTATCACAAACTTTTTGAATGCCATCAAGTTAGTTTAACCTCAGTGAGGCCTTTAAACTCTAGCTTGCGTTAAGAAGTTTGCTAACCGGAAATATGACATAAGGATAGGCCCGCTATGGAAGTTCAGGGACCTAAGTGGCATGTTAAGCAATGAACAGTTGAATGTAAATGACTGAACCAAATAGGGATGGACATAATTGACAAGATCATATGCCTAAGGACGTTGCTATAATTTACAAAATGAAGTATACAAAATTGGGATATGCTTACTGTGCATTGCAATGCCTTTTTCTTCTTTTGCGCTTGTATTAGACTATGATACTAACCTGACTTGTTATTGCTATCTGTGCAGCTCTCTTGCAGGCAATTTCATGGTTAGCAATTGCCCTCTGGCCAGCTATTTCTCTTCCAGTTCTTACCATTTTTCTCCTCTTGAGCAACTTTGGTGCATCCATATGTGAGGTTGCCAATGATGCCATTGTAGCAGAAGCTGGGAAGCAAGCAACCTTGTCCTCAGGGTCAGGTCAGCTTCAATCCTTTGCTTGGATGTTTGGTTCATCTGCTGGCGCTTTAGGAAATCTTGTTGGTGGCATTGCACTCAGTTACTTTTCTCCAAAAATCATGTTTCTGTTTTTTGCAATCCTTCTCGTGCTCCAGTTCTGCACTACTGTGGCTATACCTGAAAGCTCCCTCCAACTCCCAAAGGCAGATACTAATCTATCAGCTGTCTCCAGCGTCCGTAAGCAAATCAAAGAGCTGTCATATGCGCTGTGTATGCCTGAAATATTTTGGTCAGTCATTTGGTTTTCATTGTCCTATGCTGCCATACCATTTCTACTTGGGACCATGTTCTTCTATCAGACTGAAGTGTTAAGACTTGACTCATCAGTTATCGGTTTGTCCAAGGTTTTTGGACAAGTAACTCTATTAGCTTGGAGTGTGGCATACAACAAGTACTTCAAAACAACACCTGCACAGAAGGTTTTATCAGTTCTGCAGTTTCTTACAGCACTCGTAATGCTGTCAGATGTACTATTTGTTCAGGGAATATACAGAAACTTCGGAATACCGGATTCCATGTACACAATTGTTTTCTCAGGGTTGTTGGAGGGTCTTATGTTGTTCAAGGTGCTGCCCTTCAGTGTTCTTGTTGCAAAACTTTGCCCTTCTGGGTGTGAGGGATCACTTATGGCTTTTGTCATGTCTGCACTTGCCCTCGCAACTATCATCAGCGGTTATCTTGGGGTTGCACTTGCTGAATTCATGGGAGTATCTGGAGGTGATTTCTCAGCGCTGCCGACTTGTCTGTTGATTGAGGCTGCATGCACAATGCTACCACTCTTTTTCTCCTCATTGATAAAAGAGAGGAGAGAAAAGGAGAAGAAAGAAGAATAGAATTCACCTATAGGATTCGATGAGGTTGTACTGGTGCTCGTTATACTTTACAGTCATCTTTGGGATCATATGGATTTGCCGATAGTTCGGTTTCATAATCAGAACATAGCTGGTGGACACAATTTAAAAGACTAGGTTCCTCGAGAGGTTTTCAGTGTTTGTCGAGAATCATGTTCAGTGTAGATGGCATATTTGTACCTATATTTGTGTTACCATTCTTCTATAGATCAAGTCTTGTTTCATGTAACTAGTATTCTTTTTGTGTATGCTAATCTGTTTTTTGTAGATGAAACAATATAAATGTTTTGTGCATCTTA